ATCTGTAAAACATTTAACATAATAATAAAAAGAAATGATTTGGTTTAGTTATAATTTCCTTTTTTAAAAAAATGACGAGTTTTACATAGTTTTAGACCCGCTGGGGAATACCAAATGAACACGTGACGTAAAGTTTGAGATTCCCACCCCACAAATCAAGTTTTGAAAAACAAAATTGTATATAATTTGGGCTGTTCCTCGCCTTTAGCCACAGCGCAACCACGAGACTCTGACTGCATTACCAATACAACCGCAACTTAACTCGCGTCAAGAAATTGTTTGTCGTCGAAAACTTTTGGCTGAGATGGGATCAACTACGCTTTTGATATTAGTCACTGTAATGGCTTTTTCGGCATCCGTGAGTAGCAAACATTTGCTTATTAATTTAAGTGATATTTTTTTTGTTTAAGTATGACGCTTTACTGAAATATTCAATCATTACTGAAATATTCAATCATTACTGAAATATTCAATCATTACTGAATATGTTCAATCATTTACTGAATATGTTCAACCATTTACTGAATATGTTCAATCATTTACGGAAAATGTTTAATCATTCATCAGTATGTTCATCGCAAAAAAGTGGTGTAACTTTATGTGCATTCTTAAGTCAAGTTTAACCGAATCTGAGCACACTCAGCTCTAACGGGTACCTAGCATGAATCCACACAATCCAGACACGAGTATCTCATGCACGTGTTTTGAACTCAGCCACAAGTTCAAGGTCGAGATGACCACTTGCCCCCAGCAAACCACAGCACCATTATGGTGCTTCTAGCATTAACATTATTATGGCATATCTTAAAGAAACCAATGCCAACAATCGTCTTCGTGTTTGCATGCTATGACGTAATTTAAAACAATAAAATGTGTCTAACTTAACCAAAATACACGAAAGTCGTTTTGTTTTCAGTACGCGACCACCGGGACTAACAGAGGACCTGGTACGGACCTGAATGAGATGTGTCCTGGCCTGGACGAGATGTATCCTGGTATGTCTCTAAATAACTACTCAAGTTTGTCTTTAATATATATGTTAAAAATGTTGTAACGACGGTTGTGTGTCCATGTAATTAAATTTTTTTACAGGCTCGTCTTTACAGGTTATAGAGCAATTGTTTTAACGCACAGTACTACAACATCGAGGGTCTGGCTTGGGTCGACACGTCTGCTACATCCTACCAGACGAGGGACGTCTTCCATGAAACTGAGGTTTAGATAATGTGTGAAACCAGGGGTGGAGATGTGTTAACATTTGTTGTCTCTTGTTACAGGAGAAGTAGCCGAGGCCTTCTATTTTCCGACCATGTTTGAAAAGACCCATTGACGTAGCAATCAACATGTTTTGTTTTCACTTTCAGGAATCCAGCAGTTCCTTGGCGGGTGTCTGGACAAGTTGACTCCCAAAAGTTAGTAAGCAGTTTTGGTTTCTATAGGTATCTAGGCATATAGGTATCTATAGGTATCTGGCAGATCTCTATTCCTGATGTCGAAAAAGCACGATTCAACTGTTAGGATAATATCCATAACACATGGTCACAGACATCACGAAGCCCTTCGCAGTGACGCACCACTTTTTACATCGTCACAGACATCACGAAGCCCTTCGCAGTGACGCACCACTTTTTACATCGTCACAGACATCACGAAGCCCTTCGCAGTGACGCACCACTTTTTACATCGTCACAGACATCACGAAGCCCTTCGCAGTGACGCACCACTTTTTACATCGTCACAGACATCACGAAGCCCTTCGCAGTGACGCACCACTTTTTACATCGTCACAGACATCACGAAGCCCTTCGCAGTGACGCACCACTTTTTACATCGTCACAGACATCACGAAGCCCTTCGCAGTGACGCACCACTTTTTACATCGTCACAGACATCACGAAGCCCTTCGCAGTGACGCACCACTTTTTACATCGTCACAGACATCGCAGAACGTTATCTTGCACGTTTTTAGTTATTGTTATAACAATTTCTTTAGAAGCGACAGCTTGAGTGCAATATCCCAACCTATACATTAGTACTAAAAACGGATATTATTTTTATACATTTTCTTAATCAACTATTGTTTTCAGGACAACCTTTACATATATATATATATATATATATATATATATATATATATATATATATATATATATATATATATATATATATATATATATATATATATATATATATATGTATATATATATATATATATATATATATATATATATATATATATAATATGTGTGTGTATGTATGTTTGTGACTAAAATATATGTATTTAATATTTATTAACAGGCCATGGGCTGCGCTTCAGAGTGCCCATACCAAGTATGTCTATATTTTAGTCCTACTTATTACATATTTATTTAGACAGCAAACTCAGTTGAAATGACATTTTCCAAAATACTGCAATTAGTTAACAATTAATCTAAATTTGTTTTTTTTTTGCTTTGTATTTATCAAAATAATATTTTTCGATTACTATTATCAGTATGTCAAATATTCATACATAGATGTATGTTTAACTTATATGTTTATTTTTAAGGTGTTTCTTGTAAATACGAGAATGGTTCTCTGCGCTGCACAGTGACGTATGGGTAGAAAGTAAAAGCAGCTTGATGCACTGAAAGAGCTTAAGAAACATCCTACACCTTGATGGAAATGTGACTCTTACCCAGATGTTTTGTTTAAGTTCAAGTGTAATAAAAATTTTAAAGTTTAGAAACTTCTGTTTTTTATTATAAATGATTAATGTGTTGATGTATGTTTAGCATGTGTTTTGAAGTCGTCTTACTAGCTGACGTTTGTTGTGTGACATGGGATGTTCATGTTTACTTACGTATCGTTTGGTCCATTTTATATGCCTGCACGCATTTATCCAATTGTATTTTTAAAAACAAATATCATTCAATATTTAACACAAGCTAGAATCGTTTAATCGTGTGGCTCATAATTGTTCTACTTGACGAAATATGTGCACAAGTTTAATATGAAATCATCAATTTATTTAAATAAAAGGAAAATTGAATTTTTGAAATCACAAAACAAGTGGGAAAATTAGATTTTAGTAGCTTTGAAAACAACAAGCCGGCTACAAGTGTTAATGCTTCAGATCAGGAGAGATTAAATACTCCAATTAACATGTACTCGCTACAAATCAGGACGAAGAACGAAGTCCTAAAATTTTCAACAAAGAAAAAAAAAGAATTAACTAGTTTTATTTTTCTAGCTTAAGCGTAATTTTAGTTTAACCCTGAGATGTAATCGAATTTTGTAATAAGGCACAAATCTAATGCAAAAAATAATAAATAATTAGATTTATATTGAAATAAAAATTATCCTTGAAAATTTTAATTAGCTTTAAAAAACTTTTAAATTAATCATGCATACACAAGATATTCCATCGGAAAATAAAGTTAATTATTTTAATAATCGCAAACAGACTCAAACTTTTCTGTTCAAACAATACGAAATCTAGACAGACATTCAAATCTCATTTACGTTACCACCTTGTACGTTTCTAACCATTTAAAAAAAATTAAAATGACGGAATTCGTGAATTGATCGTGCTGATTTTAACATCATTACTAAGTCCAAACAATATTCCGAATCGATTTTTACATTTATTTCATTTTCATAATATATAACGATGAGAATTGGTTTTAATGTTATAAAAATAAAAGGGCAACACATATAATATAGTAATTTGCCTAACCAACAAAACAACAAAACAATACATTCCTCAGATAAACGCTTTATGTACAACAGTATAGCTTCAATTTATTTTCTGTAAAATATTTTGTAGCTGCTTCCTCTTTTAATTAACATTCCGCCATTAAATAAACCGGGAGTGATCTCCCCTAAACTTTCTCGAATATTCTTATATAAAATAACAGGGGATGGGAACTCGGGCTATAGACATGATTTTTAATCCATTTTAAATACTTAAAGTTTTAAAAATAGAATAAAATCTCATAGACAGATTAATTGCACACCAAGTGAACGCCAAATAAAAACGCGTATAATAGTGCGCAATATTATTAGTACTTTAAAAATTTACATTAGTTTTTTGAGAAATCGGAAGTAGCGTAAATTACTACTTCCAGTCAACGGAAATTACTCAAAATTTAACAGAAGGTAGAGAATTAGATCTTTTACTTACATGTGAAATTTCATTTATCTATCTGAAATAGTACTCAAGTTATAGGCTTTTGAAAAATTCAAAGTAGGAAAAGTACCACTTCCGGTTATCGGAAATCGCTCAAAAGTTGATACGGATCTACGATTTTGATTAAATACTTATATATGAAATTTCATCAACCTAGCTGTAACGGTACTCAAGTTATCGTGTTTACACACGGACAGACAGACAGACACACACACAGACACACAGACATACGGACAGAATTGCAAAGCCCTGTTTTTCAGACTGGATTACGCATAAAACCTCTTAATTTTGATAAATCTGGATTGATATTTTTTGCCCGATTAAAATAAGTCCTCTATACTTCGGATGTGATGAAGGACTGAGGTGTAATACGGTGAAAATTGTTAGAATTTCAATTGATTTTTGTGCACGATTACAATACTTTCTCTATACTTCGTATATACGAGAAAGTAAAAATCAATTAAAGATTTTCTTAAAGCTTATATTATTGAAAATAGAAATTAATATTTCTTTCCACACATTTTACTAAGTCCGACACAAATGAAATGTGATAGAAATAGGAAAAATTTCATTTATGTACTGCTTATAAGTCGTATTCATATAGTTATATCAAAACATGGACAAAATAAATAGAAGAAGAAAGTACTAAGAATATTTCAATATTAGTTTACCCTAATGCAAAAATATTAAAAACCGAATGAATTAAACACATTTTTTTTTTTTAAAAACGTGATAGTTAAATGTCTAACAATTAAAAAGCTAAAAACAAAATGCCTACAAAGTGTGCTAAGACTGTTGAATCAACAAACTAGTATGAGTGATAGTTGCTACTTTTTTATCATTAAATATTTTATTAGTTAGACTTAATTGAAGTTTTAATCCAATCTAGATAAGCATACACTGATTCCGTGTACGGCGGAAGTTCTCCATTATCGCAATAAAAACCTGCAGCAGTCACGCCAACGACATAATATTTTCCATTTTCCTTACAGAGGAGAGGCCCACCTGAATCACCTGAACAGGTGCTCTGGCCCGGCTCGGTGTCGAGACAAATGAAACTGTCGGCGCCACTCATTAATTCAGCTGATCTAAGGAAATACATACACAGTTTTTGATGCAAAGGGTTTGTCTTGATTTGCAGCAAACTTGTAGAATCTGGTCTATAATCTCCAGTCTTTCCATATCCAATACTGAAACAGGTCTTAGAGTCGGACATGTCCTTATCAGGCAAACAGACTGGCCGTACATCATCTGTGAAAGTTATTGGAGATTCAAGCTTGAGAACCATTATATCATTTAGTACAGTTCCGTCTTCATTAAGCTTTGCTTTATGAATTCGTTTGACAACCTTGATGCGTTGGGTAGAGTTTATTTTTGATTTACTGTACAAAGCAATGTAAACGAACATGGTAGAATTTGGATGAACCAAACAATGTGAGGCTGTGAGTATCCACCACTCCGTCAGTATGGAGCCACCACAGATTGCAACATTGCCAAAGACGTGTGTTTCAATATAAACACTCCAGGGCCAAGACTTCTCGGGAGCTTCCTCGCCCATGACAATAGTCTTCGACTGGTCAACTAAAGTTTGACCACACAAAGGACTTTGTTCCAGCACGTTGTTTGGGTCAGGTTTTGGAATGTTTGTGTAGTTTACACCACCGATCACACGTCGATACTTTGTTTGTAGCTCGTCAAAGCTCTCTATGACCTTTTCCAATGTGCAGACATTTTTAGTGATGGATTTTGTTTTTATGTTCCACGGGAACACAGCAACAAGGATAAAAAATACCTGTGTAAAACATAATTATTGTTTAAACAAAATAAATTTTTAAGTCTGCAGCTACATGTATATTAGTTAAAATACTTAATGTTACGTAAATTACTATTTTCACCAAAAGTGTTGTTTATTTTTTTTTTCATTCGTTCAATCATTCATTCGTTCAATCGTTCGTACGCACTTACATTAATAATTTTTTTGTTCATTCATTGATTCTTTCATTCCTTCATTCGATCATTCGTTCAGTCGTTCGTTCGTTTGTTCATTCATTTGTTCATTCATTTATTTGTTAGATTCAAGATACCATCAAAACTGCAATAGGTGTAGATGTTAAAAACTTAAATATGTAGACATTTAAAAAAAATAAAATAAAATATCTTTGAATAATGATTTATTCTGAATTAAAAACATGTTTAAATTTTCAATTCAAGATCAAAAGCTTTAGTTTTTAAAAAACATGGCGTCCACAGAAATAGGTTACTTTCAAAGTGTAGTTCATTATGAAGCTTAGTTGTCTGTTATTTTGATTAAGTGCAAACAATGCTAAAATTTTTGTAATGCACACGCTTGATGTATCTTTTTATTGAATAATATAATGAACTTACTTACTGATAAACTAGAACTACGCTATATTTGGTTAAAGAATATATAACCAAATAAAATTCAAGATAAAATTTAAGAACGATAAATAAACAATGCTCATTTGATATTTTTTTACTGAAATAATTAAGGCGTTACATTTAAAAAACAAATCAATCTTTGTTTATAAGAATTCGAATAAAATGCATTTGGATAAATTGAGATAAAAGTAAAAATTTCGTAATTTCACTTTATAATTAAATGTTGTCTTTCTTTAAAATTCTTGCGGAGGCTAAGTAAACAAAATGCATAAAAAAATATTAACAAGATGTTAAAAAAGACAAAATAAATTATTGTCTTTAAATATGTAATATTTAACTATTGTTTGAATAACTTTAAACAAAAAAGCGCGGGGCGCTCTGTTATGTATTGAATATCTTTAAATGAATTTTAAGAAGCGACTCACTGTTTTATTTTTAGTTTTTTAAATAGTAGTTTACTATATATTTAAAGGAAAACATTTATTTTCTCCTTTTTATTGAAGTATAACATACACGTTTGTAATAAATAAACCAGGAATGATCTCCCCTAAACTTTCTCGAATATTCTTATATAAAACAACTGGGGATGGTAACTCGGGATATAGACATGATTTTTAATCTATTTTTAATTACTTAAACCTTTTAAAAAACTTCATAAAAACGTTTTAATAACAAGCTTTTACGTACTAATGCACTAAAAAGTAGAAAATAAATTATAAACTACTATTTAAATAACTAGAAAGAAAAGCGTTGTTCACTTTAGTATCTATCGGATACCTTTACTAATGTTTAGGAAGAGACCCACGCTTTTCATTCTAGTTATTTAATTAGTAGTCTAAAATTTATTTTCTACTTTTTAGTGCATTAGTACATAAAAGCTTGTTATTAAAACGTTTTTTATGATTTTTTTTTACAAGCTTTTATTTAACTCACTTCCTCTGTCTGTCGACAGTCTGTCGTCAGTCTGTCTAGGTCGTTATACTTCAATAAAAAGGAGAAAATAAATGTTTTCCTTTAAATATAGTAAACTACTATTTAAAAAACTAAAAATAAAACAGTGAGTCTAAAATTTATTTATATACTTTTTAGTGCATTAGTACATAAAAGCTTGTTTATTTAATTTCAGATTGCATTGTCTTCATGTCTTGACCCACGTGCCAACTGTGAACCGTATCTGTCAAGTAGAAGTGTCCGAATTTTTGCTCCGGCGTTTTGATCTAGACAGACTGACGACTGACAACAGAGGAAGTGAGTTAAATAAAAGCTTGTAAAAATAAAATTGAATCGTAGAAAAACGAATTGCACACCAAACGAACGACAAACAATATGTGTATAATAGTGCGGAATATTATTAGTACTTTATAAATTTATATGCGTCTTTTGAGAAATCGAAAATAGCGTAAATTACTACTTCCCAAAATTTTAAAGAAGGCATAGAATAGGATCTTTTACTAACATGTGAAATTTCATTTATCTATCTAAAACAGTTCCCAAGTTATAGACATTTGAAAAACTTGAAAGTAGAAAAAGTTCCACTTCCCGTTATCGGAAAACGCCCAAAAGTAGATACAGATCTACGAATTCGATATAATACTTATATATGAAATTTCATCAACCTTGCTGTAACGGTACTCAAGTTATCGTGTTTACAAACACACACACACACACATTAACACAGACATACGGACAAGATTGCAAAAGTATGTTTTTCCGACTCAGGGAGCTGTAAAAGTCGAGATTTTTAAAAATCTCGTTTTTTTTTGCACGATTACAATACTTCCACTATACACCGTATATACGAGAAAGGAAGATGTTTGGAAATTCCAAGCTTCGTCTTTAAGCACTTAAGTCTTATATGAATCCTTATAAGGCTAAAAACACTTACACGATTACATGATTTGATTTAGACCAAGTTTAAAACTGCCCCCCCCCCTGAATTAATTTAACCCTCGTGGGTAGTTATCACGTCCCTGATTTAATCCTGAACTAATGGATACTTAACATTTCTCTATAAAGAACTAGAGTTGACCCATCTCTGATATGCCCTACTTGATAAGTGATAAAGAAAGACAACTCATTCATGAGCTGGTCTCACAAAAATTGATGAGCTCACGTTCACGTAACTGACTGAGACTCATAAATAAACCGGAATTGATATCCCCTAAACTTTCTCAAAAAACTATAATATAAGCGGGTAGATAGTGTGTCAGTCAGTCATCGCTATAGATTTTGGAACTATAATAGTAAACATCGCACCATGCAGTGTTTTTACTTTGTATCGCATTGTCTTTATTATAGGTAATAGAGTAGGGTTGGTTTGTATAACGATTTAAATTTATTTTATAGTTGCCACGGTTTTTACACTTTTGAATAACGTGAAGAAAAAATTAAATACACGCACATTGCTAAAACATTTTAAACGGATCAATGTCAAATATCATTTTCGTTTGGATTCCTAGAAAAGTTGGAAACAGTTTCGTAACAGTAGGGTAAAAAAACTAATTAATTAAAATCTTTAAATAGTGATGCCGGGGAAAGTAATGTTAAAAATAAATTCAACTCACGCTAATAAAAAAAATGTGAATGCAAAATCTGCGGAAGTCCAAAAGAGAATTATTGTTGGAATAATATAATTAGCAAAATATGAATGCACATTCTGCACACGTGTAAGAGGGCATTATTGTTGGAATATTATAAATTGCCATGGATTAACAAAAGGCAATCTTTTTTTTTCACTGAACGTTTACTAATAATAATTTTTTATTATCTATTCCGTAGTATTATACACGAGTCATCACGTTCATTAGGTGCGCAACGGTTTTAGTCATGCGACTCTATTGTAAATTTTTAAAATTTAAAGTACTGAAAAAAAAATCAATAAAACCCATTATGTGAATGCATGGATTTATAAAGTGCAATATGGTAGGTAAAACACGGATATTTTAAATACAGCCTTTTATTAATTTTATATACTGAACGTACTGTTTACTAATTATAATTTTCATCTCTCAGTTAGCGAACAAGCTGTGGGTTTCATAGTCGTTCACTAAATTGAATCAGGCACGTCCGCCGGCACTCGGACAGGGTGCGATTTGGCGCCACGGGCTAGACTGTGAGCACTACGCGTTTATGTTTGCATTAAAGTTGTGTTTATGTTATAAGTGTTGTGTTTGTGTTTTCGCTTTTTTGCGTTTGCAATTGTGTTTGCATTGTGTTTGCGTTTTCATTCGTGTTTTTTATTTGCGTTTGTTTTTTCTTTGGTATTTTTTTGTTGCGCTTGTGTTTTCGTTTGTGTTTGCAATGTGTTTGTTTTCAGTCTGTTTGTGTTTTCTTTTGTGTTTGTGATGTGTTTTCTTTTGCGTTAGTGTTTTGCTTATGTTTTCTTTTGTGCTTGTGTTTTCTTTTCTTTTCTTTTGGTGTTGTGTTTTTTGTGTGTGTTTATGTTGTGTTTGTGAACTCTTTGTGTTTGTGTTTTCTTTTGTTTTTGTGTTTTCTGTTTACATAACACTACGGGGGATGGCAACCTAGGATATAGACATTTTTTTAAAAGCCATATTTAATTACTTAAACTTTTTAAAATAGAATAGAATCTCGTAGAAAAAAGAATTGTGCACCAAGTGAACGCCAAACAATCTGTGTATAATAGTGCGGAATATTAGTAGTACTTTATAAATTCACATGCGTTTTTTGATAACTCGAAAATAGCGTAAATTCTATCTAAAACAGTACTCAAGCTAGAGTCTTTTGTAAAATAAAAAGTAGAATAAGTTACACTTCCGTTTACCGGAAATCGCTGAAAAGTTGATACAGAACCTCAAATTTGATAGAATACTTATATATGAAATTTCATCAAACTAGCTGTAACGGTACTCAAGATATTGTGTTTAGACACACACACACCCACACACATACAAACACACATACACACACAGACATAAGGACAATATTGCAAAACTATGTTTTTCCGACTTTGGGAGGTGTTAAACATTAAGATTTGCAAAAATCACGATTTTTTTTTGCACGATTACAATATGTTCTCTATACCTGGTATAGGAGAAAGTAAAAAAGAATACACTTGAAATCGTATGCTCGATAGTCAAATACAACCTACCTTCAATCTATTTCTGTAAATGTTGATCATTCTAGTTCTATTTCATAAGGACATTATCACAACAGCTGGTGGATTTTCCTTACACAGTTATGTTGTTTTTATTCATTTATCATCAAATTACTTTTACAGTAGTTCAAAACATTCATATTTTCTACACCGAAGCCATTGTTTTGAAAATCAGCTTGTCTGTAGTTTGATGCTATTTGGTGCAATTTATTAAGTTTAAAATATACGCACCAATCAACGTTTATTACACTTTGAAAATTCAGCAGGCCACTTAT